TCATTCTCTTAGTATATTAACAAGTTAGTGATATAAAAGAATTATTATTTACTAGAGCTTTATTAAAGATCTGATTTGCTTGTCTTAGTTCTGTCCTATTTGAAGGAGAGCTTTTAAGTATAGATAAGTTTAGATCTTGATTGGAGGTTCTCATTTATAGAGTGGAAGATTATTGAAAGGAGTTAAATGATAATAAATTAAGTACTTTTCGTAAGGCAAAAGGTACTAAACCAGCTCCTCTTCAGCCAGCTTTAATATTAAAAGAATTCAATGCTTTTTTTTTAATATTTTGAAAGAGTTCTATTTATTCAGTTCTTTGAATTCACTTTACATTAGTTTGAGAATATCAATCGATCTCTAAAGCATGATATCGTTTCATTAGCCTATACATTATAATATCAAATGGTTGAAGCAAATAGGAGTAATGAGGAGGTAATATAAATAAATCGATATTCTTCTCTATATAGAAAGTAATAAAGCTATCTATAATATGATTTGAATAGCTATTTATAATTAAAAGTCGAGATCGGTTATTTAACACTTTCTTGGATTCTGATTTGAAAACCCTTTTTAGTTATTTTAATCCATGATTATTTGAGGTTTATTTATTTGTATTAATAGAGAACTACTAGTTTTGAGATGTGTTCTTTAAAATCCATATAGAATTCGTATTCTAAGCCTTGAAAATGACTATAGGTGATAAAGCCTTTCCAGCTACATTAATACATTCAAATATAGTTATTCGTTCTTACTTATTAGCTATAATTTTCCAATTCGATTTCTAAGTAGAATCGATTATAATATATATACTTTAAGTACTTCCAACTTTAAATTCGGTTTCGTTTATATTATATATATCATTTAATTCATACTTTCGTTTAATAAGATATATACGAAATATATTAAACCAAGCCTGAACATTCTTCAGTATTATTTCTTTAGTTCGATTAGACTTTAATTAATATTAGTAGTATGTTTTAAGTTTTGAATATTGTTTTTGGAATCTATAGATTTATTTGTAGCTTATAGATAGAATTTCTATTGAGATAGAAATTTGAAATAATATAATCTGAACATATCGAAAACGAATTTCGTTGGTCATTTCCTTTACTAATATAGATATAGTAGGGAATCTAATAATAATAAGTTGTGAAATCCATTATACAAAAGTATTTTCTTTTACATTTGAAAGAATTTGAACTATTTTATAGGATTGAATATATGATTTCCTTCCAACAACCTTAGTTATAAGAATTGATTTAGGAACTTCAAAATACTCTATAGCCTTTCTAATTGATTTAAATTCTTTCAATTGAAATGTAATAATAATATTCTATATCTTCTTTTCAATTTAAGAAAGTGTAAGAGATGATTCGATATGTATAGCAAAATTTATTGAGGTTTGAAGTCAGTAATGGGCTAAATGTAACCCGGTTCCTCATATGATTCGGTTCATTATAAGTTACGTTAACTTTTTAATTATAATTAATAAAAGAAATTAATTACTTTTTTAAAGGTTTTGAGCTTAAATTTATATAAAGAATTATAAAAATTATAAAAAGAATTAATAGTTATAGAGATATAATTTAAGTAAGGAAAAATAATCCTTATAATCTTGAAAGTATTTTTATAAATATTTATTAATTGAAATTTTTTTAATTTCTTTTTAAATCTTTTATATTATAAATAATGAAAATTTATAATAAAAATTTATAGTTTATTTTTAATAATTTTTATTAAAAGTTATTAAAAGTTATTAAAGATTTAAAACTAATTTCAAATTTATATGTAATTCTTATATAAATGAAAAAATCAATATTTTAAAGCTTTAAATCTTAACCTAAAAAAATCCTAAAAATCCTAAAAATCCTAAAAATCCTAAATTTTCATAATAAACTTAAAATGATTTGAATCATATATATATAAATTTTCAATAAATTCTATCTATGAATAAAAAAGTTATTAAGAAGCTAAAAAAGCGAATTTTGATATAAATAAGTGACCTAAAAGAGGGGTGGCCAGAAAGTAGGGTACCCGACTTATACTTCACATGACCTACTCATGAAATAAAACTTTAGTAAATCTCGCGACCACCAGTAATCCATTCAAGACCCATTCGACCGGTGTCAAGATAAAAGATGGCAGATACGACGTTCGCTACACTAGACTACACCTACTATTTTGTGATTTCATTGTTTGTTGATAAAAAGGGTGATAGGTGGGTGGGTGGGTAGATAGATATTAATAGCTGATACATATTCATCTCTCCCACTATCTATCCGTCTACTCATTCATCTACCCACCACCTTAAACACCTAATCCCAAACCCAACCCTCAAAACACGGGTTGAGTATCGAGTCACCAAGAATATCTACCCAGCAAGAGCTATTACCTATCATGTGTACCAAATGTCCAAAACTCAAACCCAATTGATCAATTCTCTTTAGCTGCTCTGATTAGTTGCTTGCTCATCCTAATTTCCGGGCGGGAGAAACAGAGTTCCGCGATGCTTTCGGGAATGTAAGAGAGAGCTAAGTTTATTCTCCGTGTGATCGGATCGGATCTGATTGATTAATATCTGGGTAGGGAGGTATTGATAAATTTGATATGGATATGGATATGGATATGGATATGGATATTATATTGAATGGGGAAAGCTTGTTTGTGATGATCTTTGGTTTGGTGTTAGGATTGGGAATAGATTCAATCGGGATTGGATTTTTGGTTTTTGGTTTTTGGTTTTCATTTTGGATTTATTTTGGATTTATTTTGGAATGAGAGAAGGATTAAAGAAATAAGATATGATAGGTAAGTGTCGCTCTGATACATACATACCGGTGGTTAATAATACCTAAAAGCCCAAGCAACGCTATCGGTATCTACCTACCTGTATGAACTTTGTATCTTGTTTTCCCAAGTACTCTATCACGATTAGCTATCACGATTAGCTATCACGATTAGCTATCACGATTAGCTAAAGCTGTTAGTTGGTGTACTACCATACTGAAAATAAAGCTAAAGCTATCTACCATATGAGGAAGAACAAGGAAGAGAAGAGGATTTATTCATTCCTTCCTTCAACTATACTTTGGCGCGCTCTTGGAAGATGCCAAAGGGAAAATGATAAGTTGATCATGTTCTTGGCAGTGTGTGGGTGTTGGTGTTGGTGTTGGGGTTACTATATTGACTGAGTGATGTGACTGGATGATGCAATTTTGGAGTCAAGGTGCATCATTGTACATCATTCATTGTACGTTGTACTTCAGTGTGAGATGTTAGTACTTGGGTGTATTATGTGTGAAATCGAGAGATTGGACAGTACCAAGTACACACCACTCTACTGTACTATATTAGGCAGATGGATAGACAGACAAGACAGACAAGACAGATAAATATCTCAGATTTCCATCTTATATGGTACTCACTCTCCTCTCCTCTCCTCTCCCTCTACGCTATAAATGATTGACAGTGCCGGTATTTGCTTTTGTTTTGATATCGATTATCACATTTGAATGAATGGGTTTAATTAGCAAGCAAGACATTTGTGAGGAATTCGGTAGGAGATTGGATTAGAATATAGGTCACCTCACTCCGTAGAGCGATAATAACTCTCGTGCGCACTGGGCATTTCATGATTGATATTAGCTATCTAGGGGCTCTGGAAGGTTTTACTTCTTTTTGGTGGAGAAACTATTGATGGGTGGGTTGTAGAGAGCGAAATGGAAATCAACGGGGAATCCATACTTGCATGTTTTATGCCTTGAAGTTGTGTGATTGTATATATACAGACTGGGCGAGTGGATATACATTGTGCTATACCTAGTTCCGACCAAGTATGTGCAGGCTGGTAGGGTATATACAGTGTCATACACACTTTCATCCTTATTCCTGCTGGGTCAAGAGTCAATGTGAGGGAGTGGAATATCATTGGTCACATCAGCCTTGTCAACCACTTGTCAAGCAGGGTGGACTCTTCCCCCCTGGTCTCTCTGATCTGAATTGGGTGTGAGAAACAAAAGAACGGAATGATTGGAAAATGTTGGCCCCCCTTCCCCTGTTTCCCCTTAGCTCCCAAGGGTAATTCCCCCACATTACTCGGGAGATCATCTAACTTTTGGGTAACCTTAGGGGAAATCATAAATCATCAGATGGGCCAAGCAAAAGGACAAGTCCCCAGGGCAAAGTCCAAGTTTCGCAGTCCAAGCCATCCATTCCTTTCCTTTCCAATCCCATTCCAGGGGAAAATTAACGTCAAGTGGGAAACGCAAAAGGAAAGAGACGGGGTGGTTTGGCTTTCGGGATACCGAGTCAAGTATGGTCGTGGTTGTGGTCATGATCTTGTGATGGTCTGTTGTTTCTTGATTGGATATTGCCATGATGATGTGGTGAATGAATGGAGGAGAGAATGGAGGAGAGAATGAATGGAGGAGAGAATGAAATGAAATGAGATGTTGAAGTACAAAGTATGAGGGGAAGTACAAGTACCAGTAGAAGAAGAGGAGGAGGAAGAAGAGGGAGAAGAGAGAGAATGTGTGTTATATTTACCAACTCGTAACTTTGTACTATTGATTTACCATCTATTTACCATTGCCATCTATTTACCATTGCCATCTATTTACCATTACCATCTATTTATCATTACCATCTATTTACCATTACCATCTATTTACCATCTCCACATTACATACCAAAGATACTCCAGAACTTGTTATGATTTACCAAATTTATTAAAATTACGCCCATTCATCATTCATTCATTTATTCAACCCACTACCCACTCCCCACCACCCATCACCCACCACCATCCACCAACCACCAACCCACTCATCACCGCCTAGTCTAGCACTGCTTTTACCATCTGCAGGTACATGATTTATTAAAGTGGGTGCGCTCATCCATTTCAAATCTGGGGGTAAATTCAATTCATTCAATCAAATTCAGTCATCAATTCAATTCTCTCATTCTTCTTACACCATAATAATAATACCTTGGTATACTTCTTACGTCCTCAAACATATCATTTCCTTCTCCCCTCCTCTCCTCACCTCTACTCTTCTCCCCTCTCCACCCAATTCTTCATTACTCTTTCTTTCTTTCTTTCTTTCTTTCTTTCTTTCTTTCTTTCTTTCTTTCTTTCTTTCTTTCTTCCTTTCTTTCTTTCTCTCTATCAATTCAACTGGGAAGATAATGCCCATAAGAGACATTACTAAGTCTTCAACACATCATAGAACTACACTTTATTACTTATGATTCGAAACTTCTCCATCTCCCTCCTTTTTACTTCTTGATTGTCCCATTTGTTTCGTTTCGTTTCCTTTCATTCCATTTCATTTCATTCATCATGTCGGAAGAAAAGATTCAACCCCCTCAACCCTCACAACCCGCACAACAAAAATATTCGAGATACAGATCCGTCAGAGCCTTACCATCAAAACCCCATCCTACTCCTCCCAAACAAGATGCTCAACAAACTCAAAATACTTCCATGTCGAGGACCAAAAGTATGTCAAGATATCGACGTCCAAAGGTGGCCCTCCAATCCGATCATTCACCCCCGGTACCTTCATTGCCAGTCTCGCATGCCCAATCGACATCTCCCACTCCCGCCGCCAGAATTCCTATGACAAGGCGAACAACGGATCCAGTTGATTCTGCCATTGGCCTTCCATCAAACTATGCGCAAACGAGACGTCCCATCCCCAAGCGATCACAAACCCACTTGGGAGCGACGGGGGAATCTCAAAATTATGATGAGCGACAACAGAATTATGAACCAAATTACAATAGTGACAATGGCATAAATCAACAAGCAATCCTCTCCCCATCGCATTCTCCTCCACCGGTTTCTCTCCCGGTTCAACTGAGCGATGAGGAGACGGAGAGGATCTTGGCAGTACAGAAGCGCAAGGATTTGGAGCGATTGGAAGCTACGTTGGATGCTGCTGCAAATGATTCTGTCAAAAGCCCTCCTCAAAAGTTCGCATTCTTCAGTAGTAAAAGACGTACTACTAAAACCACCAAACCGCCCCTACCTTCTGTGTTGGATAACATTGCATCAATACAGCGTACGATAGGTGATGGTCCTCCCAGAAATGAAGCGCCTGTCATAAATCCTGTGGGTATTCAGCAGGGTGGAGGTGGCATCGTACCGCAAACCGATGCTCCAATTTCCGCATCAAATGCGCCAGAGAGAGTAAGTCTACGATTTTCAATTCAACAAACAGGACTGACATTTTCTTAGAGAGTCTTAATCCGCTGTAAGCAGTCATCAATCAACCTACCAGTCGACCCAGACACAACTCCCATGGATATTATAAATTCTGCTGCAAATATCATGTCTACCTACATCGATCCACACACTGCTGTATTATTGGAATCGTACACAACTCTTGGTCTTGAGCGCAAAATTCGTCGTTATGAACACATTAGAGATATCATGAATTCTTGGGACAGAGATACTCAAAATTGTTTAATCGTGGAAGGTTCCGATTCTTATGATCATGAAGAAGACCTTGACGTATCATCTGTACCCACCGATGCGCCTCAAGATGTTACAATGCAGCTTTATCATTCTCAGAAACCCGGCAAATGGAACAAACGTTATATTACACTTCTTTCTTCTGGTCAAGTATTTGTCTCGAAAAAGTCGGGGGTGAGTATAAATGATAAAGATTCAATGAACATTTGTCACTTATCTGATTTCGATATCTATACCCCAACCGCGCAACAAATTAGGAAAACACTCAAACCACCAAGGAAGAATTGTTATGCTATTAAGAGTCAACAGAAGACTGCCATGTTTTTGAGTGCAGAAAACTTTGTACACTTCTTTTGTACTGATGATCACATTGCGGCAAATGCGTGGTATTCGGCCGTTCAGAGATGGAGAAGTTGGTATTTGGTTACTAAGAAGGGTGAAGGTCAGAAGAAAGCTACAAAAACTGTCAAGACGATGAAAACAAAGCTCTCATCAGGGCTAGGAACGGGAGTTAAAGGTGTTCACACACATAGGGTAAATGTTTCGGTGGATGAAGATCCATATATGATTGGATCATTTAAACCATTACTTGATATGGACCGTTTCGATCGATCAGAAGCTGATGATTCAACCGAGGATGAAAGGCCGATGCAAATCCCTTTCCATTCACGGAATACATCTACAGTAGCACCTCTTCCTCGCCTCGTACAAGAGAGACCGCCAGGAGCATACCGAGCACCTCCTCAAGAAGATCAATTCGCATCGGGTGGCTTGTTAGGAAGAACATATTCGGTCCGTCAAAAAGCACTACAGGAACGAGAGAATAGTCTCAAAAATGGATCTTTCACAGATGGTCCAACTCTCATCAATGGCAGCGCTCAATCTCGAGCAATGTCGATGCCTTCGAAAGCCAAACGACTAGAAGTAGCTAGTACAAGTCTTCAACGTAGTCCAAGTAGTAGGAAACCCAAACCATTATTGGATTTTACACCTCAGTTTGAAGAGGCACCGCAGTGGAACAAAAAGGGCAAGGGTCATGGTGTGGCGGCTCCTTCGGGGTTATTATTGGTTGAGGCGGCAAATACGCCAGACATTGGGCCAAATGATATTCCAAAAGCAAATACAGTGTTTAGGAGGGATACGACCACTCAGAGACCAAGAACAAGTACGAATGGAAGGGATAGGGGACATTCGGGGACTAGGGAACCTTTTATTAAGGGTGGCTTGGTAGAGGGTTCTTTTACGGGTAGTGCAAGAGATAGGGGAAGGGTGGGATATGAATGAGATTCGGAGAACGGAGAATGGAGAATAGAGAATGGAGAATGCATAGATGGAAGAGCTGATGGATTTCTTTTGCATGCGATGGATTTCTGGACCTTTGGGTTAGGTAGGGATTTGGCAATCAAAACTGGATGGAATTTCTGGCTGAATTGAGAAATTGGTTTGGGGGATATGTTTGGCTCTTTTTCGGGTGTTTATGAATGATTAGATACCAGTGAGATGGGGGATACCTAGGTAGCACTTTTGCATCTTTTTGGCTCTGGATGAGGGTAAACTTATTGTAGGTATACCAATTTGATGCGTAGGTTTGGCTTTTTGAATGTTTGGGGTTTGGTATGGGGGTTTGGAATTATATGTGATTTTGTGTGATTTTGTGATTGTGATTTCGTTTGTGATTTCGTTTATGTTTGGATTCTGGGGAGGTGAGAATGTGGATATGGGTAAGTGTGTGTGAAAGTGATTTAGCTCCTCTCTTTTCTTCTCTCCTATGTTTTTGGTTTGGTTTTACTGTATTCTATTGAGTTACTTGGATTCAAGATTATGGATTAGGTGAAGAGTTTGAGGAGGGAGTGAGAGGGGGTTGAGTGGTTGTAATGGTGTTGTACTTGCTTAGGGTTTTTGGTTGAGTTGGGGTTTGAGGTTGGGTTTGAGTTTGAGGTTGAGGTTGAGTTTGGGTTGAGTTTGGGTTGGTATGGTATGGTATGGTATGGTATTTCGGATATCAGATATATATCACTCGACTGCTAGATGGGAATTATAAGATGGATGGGTGGGTGGTGGAGGGGTACGTAGTGGAGTATCCCTTCTTGGAAAAGAATTATCTAAAAAGAAAGTAATAGGAATAATGTCTATTTGATTTATAACTATCGATCTAGATGGACATCTTTCTGGTATGATAGTTTTTCTTTTCTTTTTTGCTTGAGCATTGGGGATTATGTGGTTTGTTTTGAGGGGAAGGGAGGGAGGAGATGGAGAGGGGGAAGAGAAGAAAAGGAAATTTTGGTTGGGTATGTATATATGTATGTATATATATACAGCAAATGGCAAATAACGAATGGGAAATGAAAGGATGTGTATGAAAGGATGTGTATGAAACTGTATATCTATCTATCTTGGGATTGATCATAGTTTTTTGGTTCGTTTGTGTGACTTTGTGGTTTGGAGACTCGGGATGAAGGGGAGGTGGTAGTAGTGATAGTGAGAGTGAGCGTGAGTGGGAGTGGGAGTGGTAGAGAGTGCGGATGGATATTAAAATGAATATTAGGAGATGGATATTGAGAGACGGATAGTTATTGAGAAATGGATATTGAGAAATGGACATTAGGGGATGGACATTGCGAGACGGATATTAATAAAAAGATTCCACAATGTGATTCCTCTGCATCTACTCATCTACTCAGATACCACCTACCTCACATCTCAAGCATCTACTTCATGAGCATTAATATCAATAGATCATTGATATTGATATCTATACCTGTTTCTATACCCAGACCAGACAAATTTACTCAATCAGAGATGAGCAATGATTTTACCATGTTGTTGTGTTGTGTATCTGGATTTTAGTCAGTTTTTGTTGTATTCTTTTTGGATTTGATTTGCTGGATTTATCATGTTTGGTGGATTGATTTGGGATCGGTATCGAAGAACTGACAATATGGTCCATATATTCATAGAAAATAGTACTAACTCAGTAGGATAGATAATATACAGTAATCGGTTACGAGGCACAAGATGAGGGTTTTGATGATTTTACGATTTCATGATGGTGTTGCGTATTTGCATATTTAACTTTCATTGTGTTCTACTCGGATTTTAGGTGGTGCTTTTGATTTGGTTTGATCGGGAGATTGAAGGATGAAATCGTTTAGTTTGTAGATGGGTAGATTAGGTGGTGGTAGGTTAGGTACCTGGGTAGTGCTTGATCAGTTAGGAGGTTGGAGGATCTTATTCCATATCTGCATATTTAGTCTCTCTTATATTCATTACATTTTGATTCTACTCGTAATTTGACCGAGTTGCTAATTAGCTAGCTAGTCAAGCAATCACTTAATTATATTCATGATATCAGGCCTATAAAATACTCAAAACTCCAATTCCAGCTCCAAGTAAACATTCTCTAGCAGTGCGAATTAATTTTTAAGTTATTATGTTACTACGACTCTTTGTGGTGAAATTTGATGATCAATCTATCTGTTATATCTACGATATTGTGTAAGGAGGAGTGGAGCATGAGAGGAAGCGAGAGGGGCAAGGTGTATGTATGTAAATGTTGATTGTATGATATGTGTGATATAGTTGGTTGTATGGAGGAGTAGGTCTTTTTGTTTTTTTTTTCGGAAAGAAAGAACGGATAAGTGACTGAATTAATTAACTGATTATATTATTGTTATTGGAGATTGAGAATTTCGATTTATTTGTTTGTTTATTAATTGATTTTAATTA